CTTCAGTCTGAAATGGCTTCCATTGAAGGCGATTTACAAGGGGGAGGGAATTTGATTTTTCCCTAACCAATCAGTAGAGATCAACGACTCACCCAGAATCTGACGTCATTAGTATCCATGCCTCGGGGGTGCCGAAAACAAGCGAGCATTGCCCATTTAAAATGTCTCCGTCGTCGTGCACGCCCAGCTGCATCACCGTTAAATCCAGTTTAGCAGCATCCTTAATTTGATCCTCCATTAAGGCAAGTAGTGGCAAAATACCTCGATAGCATCGCTAATGTGGTCTGTAGGATCTGTAGCGGTCGCCATTGTTGCTATCCTCACCAGTTACCCACCGGCGTACAGCTTGACATCAGCGTGGCGCTGATTGGCTAATCGCTAGACCCCCGGCGTTCATTGGTCCATCCATCGTTTGGACGAGATAAATCGCAAATTCATTGAAGTATGCCAGACCAGAAATGCAAGCCTACTCAGTTGAGTGGGCGGGGTCTATGGTCTGGAACCAGGCTATGTCGGAAGTATCCTTGAGCAAAACACTGAATGCCAAATTGCTCCTGATGGCTGTTCCATCGGTGTGTGAGTGTGTTAAAAACTGAGTAGCAGATGGCACCTTGTATGGTAGCCTCGGCCACCAGTGTATGAATCTGTGTGTGAATGGGTGAATGTGACTCGTAGTGTTAAAAGAGCTTTGAGTGGTTGGATGACTAGAAAGGCACAATATACAGGGTCCGACATTAATGGTTGCCCGAATGCCCGGGGCAAGTAAAAATAGCCGGCGGGCCAGCAGACTCCTGCGCAGACATGCCCGATTGGGCAAGCAGCACCGACTCAGATTTTTTTTGTTTGTTTGTTTTTTGTTTATTTCTAATCGCAGGGCAGAAACGGCCAGCGCTGTAATCCCCCTCCTACCCATACGGCCAGTGTAGCATGTCCTGTTTTTTTTAACATTAACATGACAAACATCAAGGCTACGGCTAACAAGTTAATGTACTGACACTCCTCTGACAGACAGACACACATACCGGACAGCCTCTCAGTCCTTAGCCGCTAACGTTAGCTCATGTACAACACAGGTACCACACAGAAACTTTTACAAAGGGTCATAATGTGCTTCTAGTGACTGTCAAATCGCCAGCGAAAGTTGTTTACACTGCCTGCTCTCATGGGACAAAGATCCTCTGAGAAGAGAGACGGTTCACTCTGCTCTGCCACCAGGAACAAACTGGGAGGCAAAGATCCTCTCTGAGGAAGAGGGTTCACTTTGCTGCAGGGTTCACCAAAATGTTTTTTTTTTTTTTCTTCTAATAAATTGAACACACATTAAAGAACATACAAGATCCTGTAGAGAATTAATACATATGATACAATACAATAAACATTGTCAAATTAAATGAAGGAAGAGGATTTTTTTTAAAGTCAGATAAAATATTGGGGATTTATGTAAAAATGTACATAGAGACATATAAATAATTATATAATTAAAGGCACAATAAGTGAAATCGTTTTACCACTAGGTTCGCTGTTGTGCACTGCCTGTAGAGCAAAACAAAGTGTGTCATGAGGGCGACAGGGGCGAGGAAATAAAACCTAAAACCCTGCTTTCCTGTTAGCGTTAGCACTACTTGGCAGCCACGCTAACGCTCCAACTCCAACTGAGCCAGGAGCAGGCTCACGGTCTCATGGAGAAGAGTTGGTATGTTAGCATGGCAGTCGACTAGTGCTAACGTCCCTATGCTTCTCCGCCAGGCTCAGTGAACTGGAGCCGAGAAGCGTGGGGACGTTAGCCTTAGCACTAGTCGGCTGCCATGCTAACGTTCCGGGTGTCTGCTTCTCGGCTCACAGAGCTCGCCGGAGCCGAGAATTGTTGGGACGTTATCGTTAGCACTAGTCGGCCGCCATGCTAACGTTCTGGCGTGGGGACGTTAGTGTTAGCACTAGTCGGCTGCCATGCTAACATTCCTACTCTTCTCCGTTAGCGTTAGCTCCCAGAGTTAGCACTAGGGATGTAACGATATGGAAAATTTGATATCTCAATTGTAATGACCAAATTATCACGGTAAACAATAATATTGTGATATTTTTTTAAGCGCTGTAAAATGTCCAAAAAATAGATACATTGAAATAACTTTACTAAATCTTGTAACTTCCTTATCATACTAAAATGTTAACAGCCAAAATCTTATATTAAAATGAAACTTTCACATTAAAGGGGCAAGGGATTGGCACAGCAACAGAAAATTTTATTTTAAATTAACAAAATATGTAAACACATTACAAGAGCAAAGCTTATTTGTCTGGTGCATTTTAATAGTCAGCAAAATATGTAAACAATTGATATATTATTTATTTATTAGCATGAGAGGAAAAATATATATAAAACAAAACAATGCAAGAGTAGATCAAAAGACATACAATATATAGAATAGATATCACAAATGTGCAGGAGAAACCATAAAAACCCTAAGGACAATGGTCATCATTACACAGAATAATTCACACATTAGAAGTGTGCATGTGAGTCAGAGGATTACCTGTATGAGAAAAGGAGTGCACGCTCTCGGTCAAAGGTTAACACAGCAGCGTTTTATGTTGTTTCCTTGAGCTTATGTCAAGAAAGCATAACTGGCCGTCTAACGTTATATCGATTCTAGCTCGCCATACAATAACCATAATCACAGTGATTCAATCATAGTTGATCTCAATTAGCGTTACGTTTGCATAGCATAACTTGCATTGGCTGTAAAGCTGTGGATGATGGTCGCGGAGATGAGCCAGCAGATTTGTAGTGTTGCTACCCTTCGCAGCAACTTTCTTTCTGCATGTTCTGCACACAGCATAGTTGTCCTCCACCAGCTGTCCCTCGGCATTCTTCAGAAACCCAAAGTACGCCCAGACCTCTGACTTTGTGCGTTTAGTTGGGGGGGAAAATGTCCGCTATCACCACCTTCCGCCATGTTTTCATTCTTTGTGTTTACACATGCTACACATTCACGCAGCGTCTGCATCGCGAGACTTGAATGAGGCTGTTATTACATGTCCTGATAATCCACCGTGATAATGCAATTAATTTAAACATAAACGGTAATTCTTACCGTGTAAAAATTAACCGAAATTTACCGTAATATCGGTAATTGTTACATCCCTAGTTAGCACTAGAGCTACTACGGCTACTGGAGTAGCTTGCAGCTATGGAGCGCTTCTACCAGCTCTTCTAGTCACTGAGCCTCGCCTCCATTTCAACAAATATATTGCATTTATTACAGGTACCATCATTATTGAAGTAGGCAGGGGAATCGCTAAACACAGCCGCCAGGCTGCCCGCCAGGCTACATTTTGCAATGCTAATTGCAAATGTGAGCTGGGCTGCTGGGCTACTCACCTAAAACAACCGTAACGCCTGACCCATTGCTGGGACTGAGCCGCTAATAACTCAAGCTCCAGACATTAACCCATGCTACGATTGTAACATTAAATTTAATTGAATCGACATAGTGACATGTGCCTAACGTTACTGTAACACTAATTAAAACAGATATTTGACTTTATGTTGTATCTGTCCAGGAGAAGAAGAGCTAGCTCCGAGTCAGATTGTAGCCCCTTTAGCTCTCGCATTCACATGAACGTACATGAACGCGCAGCCGGACCAGCTTGTAAACAATGGGCTGGAGATCAACACAGAGAGAGGGTGTGTGAGGTCATGCTATACTCCAGATGAAATTACACCTCTAGTTCTTCACATAGCATTTTTTTAATTCCTTCAATCTAGAAATGATGAATTTCGCTTATTGCTCCTTTAAAGATATGTAGGCTATGTTAGGTGAATACTCCTGTCAGTGACCCTGACCACTGGCATTGGCAAAAGAACTGTAGTTGGTCCCCTGACGCTGCACTGCGGCTGTCCACTGCTCCTAGTGTATACAGTAGGATGGGTCAAATGTATGTAATGTGCTGAAAAAGGACAATAAAGAATCTTCTTCTAATAATAATTTCTTAATAACTAGGAGATAACAAAAGAATAAAGAGATTTCAAAGACTTAAAAAATAAGGGACATGAATCAAAACAAAGAAGAAACAAGAAACGAGATATATCTCCAGTCATGCACACCCAGTTTTAATAAACTCAGTACTGTTTTTCAACACATACATTGTTTTGTCTTCATTCAATGTAGTTAGCACATATTGTTATTGCGCCATTGGTTTTGGCCTTGGTGCCACACATTTTGGCCATGATGCCCCAATAAATTTGTATTTATCAAAGGCCAAAGTGGCCTTGCCCTAAAAATGACTTAATTCCAGGCCTGTAATTGTGTATTTCCTCTCCTGTTTCTGTCCTCGGAGGGGCCAGTTGCAGTGTGCTGCTTTTTTATGTGCTGCTGCCTCCATTGGCTGAGCGTCTCTGCTGACGTAAGATATAAGTCATGAGCGAAAAAATGCACTACACAGCCAGAAAAAGAACCTCTTAAGCAGGGCAAGTAAGAATTTAGATGGGGCAAGTAGATTTGAGAAGTACTTGCCCAGCAGGACAAGTAGGAAAAAACCTTAACGTCGGCCCCTGATGTAAGTGCAGGTCCATTTACCATTTACCAAGAGAATTAATGTCAGATCAACAATGTCAGCCAGGTGTGCTTTGTCCTCGTGTCTGTGGTAACATTAATGAGATTTGGAAAAGAACAGATAGGGTTGGTTGCTGACATATTTTAATGATGACATGAGTTATCATTAGCAAGATCAAGTCTAATGTTCCTTTAGTTGTATAATCTCTGTAAGGCAACGAGCCTTACACCCAGAAATGATCTAATACACATTGCGGCATCCAGCGAAACAGAACCAGTGTAGAATAAGTGTAAATGTAATTTAATGAAGGTGGAAAGCGGTCGTAGTTGCCCACTGATCAATAAATGTTATTCTTTTTGTGAAATGAAAATCATGTCGGGAAAACTCTGGCAAGATTTTATAGCACTTATGTGTAAGACTTGAGCTCGATCTTTCTGTGTCTGCAGTTGGAGGGCCAGGTGGTGGCCTTGCTGGTGCAGAATATGGAGCGGCTGGATGAGCAGGTGAAGGAGGAGGCTGATGGCATCTATAACACACTGGGTAAGGAGACGTATACGAAGTCCTTAACAGTGACGTTTCTGTCACTGTTTGTCCTGAAGCAAACTGTCATCAACATAAACAAAAATCTTATGTAGTTAAAATTTGATTCCCCAAAAACTTCATTGCCGTATAGAGTGCTGCAGGGATGATGTTTTATTTTTTTTAGGCCAACCTGGAACCCGGCAACCACAGTTTTGTTAGCTGGCATAGGTGAATTTACTGAAATTGTTAAAGGACAGAGACAGAGCTACAATCATCCACTGTCACCTGCCCAGTGTACGCAAAATTCATCTGAATCAAACAGCTGAAAGCTTGGCATACTGCGTTCAAACATTCATCATGTTTTGAACTGAATCCTAGACTAATTAAACTGCCAACAAAGCAGGTTCCAGGAATGAAATATGGAGCTGTTTTGCTTACAAAGACTGTTGCTGTCCTTTTGTTAAGTAACAAAACAAGAAGTATCTCAGTGTTTGTTTGTGTACTTTATATTATAAAACTGTTAGAAATATGCTAAAATGCTAACAAAAGTGGACCAAAAGCAGCAGATGTTAACCAACATAATATGAAACATCTGATATAGACAGGATCAACAGTGTCTGATCCATGTTGCTAAAATGCGCAAGGTCAATAGGACAAACATGTCATTAACCAATCTACCCATGCATACATCTCAGCAAAACATCAGGCCATGTTCTTATGAGTAGTATATCCACAAAATAACTAGACTGGAAGGTGCTTTCAGTGCATTCATTTATATTCAAAACATGTGGGACAAATATCTGGAAGAAATCTGGGACAAATTTCACTGCACACTGTAGGTGCCACAGACTCTTTGCTGCTTCTATACTGCACATGATAAAAAAAACAGGCTTGGATAAAGATAGCAGCTCAGTAGCATTTGAATATTCAGAGCAAGAATAATTGATCATCCTTGTCATGTTTAGTGCAGAAACATGACAAGCCTTTCCGGAGGGAGCTATGCCTTTAAGGTGTGTATGAGCCAGTGTTAGAGCTCTGGGCAGTACAGTGACAGCTAGTCCTCCTGGACCTGGATTTGACATTACACAGAGGGCGTAGACTAACTTTATTTGTATTCTTTAAGCTTTAACAGTGAGTCCCCCTGCTGCCAAGTGTCCTAGACTTTTTCCAGTGACAGCGAAAGGAAGCCGTCAGACTCTCATTTAAATGTTTTAGCAAAGAGTAAGCACTTTTAAACACTGTTTTATAAATCTGAGGCGTGAACTCTTAGTTGTGGAGAGTCAGAATCGCGTGTTTGTGGGATAGATTTAACAGCTTTAAATGTAGACATGAGGGCTAGGAGAGGGCACGGGCCAGCGGATAGTTTGAGAAGTCATGCTCTCTGTATTTAGCCTCCCATGAATCAGACTTTTCTGCCTCTCAGCTCTTTTTGTGTTGAATGAGTCTACTGAGATGATTTTTTTCTTTGTTGCCAGATTGAGGCCGAGTGTCAGGAGAGCTGTTTAGGTGTGTGTATTTGGCTCTTTGTGCAAGTGTGGGTTATATCGAGGGAGCAGTGCTTGTGCAGATCTTCTATTCAAGTGTGTGCGTGTGTGTGTGTATGTGTGTGTGTGTGTGTGTTATCAAGGGAGCTCTCCAAGCTTGAATAAGCCTTTTGTCTGCCTTGGCTGCTCTCTGCTCTGAGCCTGCTGTCCACCAGGATGCTGTCTGTCTGCTCTGTTTGAATCACTGATAAAGGCCCTTCCTCTCTCTCCCTCAGCGCCCTCCCTCTCCATCCCCTCTTCTGTTTCTTTCTCCCAACATTTCTCTTTCACTCAACATTTCTCTATCATCTGCTGCCCCTCTCTCCAGATGTTGCTCGTTTTCTGTCTTATTTGTTTTGTCTTCTCTCCAAACTCTGTGTATGTTTGTTGTGATGTTGTTACATTCCCTCACTCCCTCTCTCCTCATGTCCCTCATTCCCTCAGCTTCCCATCCCTCATCTTTGACTTTGGCTTCCCACCCTTTTGCCTCCCTTCTGCGTTTCCTCTCAATTTATTTCCCTTCCCTCCATCCCCTTAGTTTTCCTCTTCTCCCTCCTTTCATCACCACCCCGCAATCTCTTTCTCTCTCTCTGTCCCCTTCTGCTGCAGTCTGCTCTGATAGAGATATCATGTGGCAGAGACAGCTTTCTAATATAGATAGATAATATTAGAAGTAGCTGGGACAGAACCCAGATGAACCCTCTGTAAAAAGATGACTGTTGTATTTCACAGTTCTGCTTTAAAGTGTGTTTGCATACCATCTGTATGTTAACTTGTGATAGTTAGAGGACTTTGATTAAAGACTATACTGAAGTTGCAGCATGTATTGAGGCAGATGCACCAGCACAGAGAAAACAAGTCTGAAGCTTTGTTTATAGTAGCGCTGGACACCGTGACATGGGCCTCTGTAGATGACGTGCAAGCTACAAGCATGCCCAAACCACCTCAACTGGCCCCTTTCACCTTGAAGGAGCAGCTGCTCTACTTTGAGCTCTCGCTGGATGTCTGAGCTCCTCACCCTATCTCTATGGCTAAGCCCAGACACCCTATGGAGGAAGCTGATTTCAACCGCTTGTATCTGCGATCTCATTGTTTCGGTCAGTACCCAAAGCTCATGACCGTAGGTGACGGTTGGAACGTAGATGGACCGGTAAATTGGGCGCTTTGCCTTTTTGCTCAGCTCCTTCTTCACCATGACAGTCCGGCACAACCACCACATCACTTGCGATGCCGTGCCAGACTGCTTGTCCATCTCACACTTTATTTTACCATCACTCGTGGACAAGGCCCTGAGATACTTGAAGTTCTTCTCTTGGGGCAGTACCTTGCTTCTAACCCAGAGGGAGCAATCCACCGTTTTCTGACTGAGAACCATGGCCTCAGACTTGGAGATGCTGACTGTTATCCTGACCGCTTCACAAGCAGCTGCAAACCACCCCATGTATGCTGGAGCTAGCGTTAACTTAGTCTCTATATACAGACTCTACATTCAGTGAATGTAGAGTCTGTAGGCAAACCCCGGAGATCTTGCCTCCGGAAGAAGAGTGGAAGAGCCCTGGTTTCCGGTTGTAGGCTGTTTGTAGTCCGCGTGATATTGTTCAATCACGTTTAAGCCGGCTGCAGTTGTTGCCAGGTTGAACGCTCCGTGCGGTGAACTAACGAGGCGGAACATAATTGGCGTCACTGCAAACTCTGAATCCATCGCAATGGTTCAGCATATTTCCTTATATATAAACGGAAGTCAGAAACGGAAATTCACCTAATCAAACAGGAATGCCAAAAAATCGGGGGTCCGCCCCCAGAGGCTGTATCGCCGGCTGCCCGAAGTCAGACGCCGAATACAGCCGATGGGTTCCGACAATGACGTCAACTATTCGTAATTGTCTTCTAAAGATGAACCCTATTGTATCCCAGATATCATTCTTGATAGTATCTTTATCAGGACAGTTTTCGTTTACCTGTCTGTGGTAACAGCCAGTAATTTATGATAGATTTTGATTGGCTGTTGTTTGAAAGGGATACCAACAATATAATTTGCCACTGCTGTTGTCGTTTTAGTTGTGGTGTGGACTCCTCCATTGACTTGAGTTAGAACAATTTATAAAACTATGTATTTTTAGTTGTTGTTGTCATTCTTGGTGTGGACAGTCCTTAAAAATGTATCTTTGTCTGATTAGTCTCATTTTTGGGTTGTTGTGGGTAACTTTAACATGGTGTGTAACTCATGCTGAAAATTCCCTTACATCCAACCACCTGTGTTTGAGTTTAGCATCTTTGACAGCCTGAGACAAATGTACAGTTTGTCAATCTTACACATTCACTCAGTGTTCAGTTTTTTCCCAGATAGGGCAAACACTGAATTTCACAATGACATTTAGAAAGGATTTGTACGTGTTTAATGGGGATTAGTCGTAACTTGCCGATACCCTGTCCACTAAATGAGATCAGTATCTGTACTGACATCGACCCACCAATTCAGATTGGTCTATCCCAACTTATTTGGTTTCTGTCAGGAAATTCTAGGTGTCAGCAAAAGTGGTGGCCATGGAGCTTTTAAGTTTATAGTGACTTGCTCAAGGATACTTTAGCAGGGCAGACACCAAACTTGCAGGTTAATCTTGATTTTTGATGTTTTGTCCTCCTCAGCGATCATAGAAAATATGGCAGAGTTCAGACCAGGCCTGTGCACCGAGGCAGCTCAACAGGGACTCATGCAGTGGCTGCTCAAGAGAATCAAGGTAAGAATGTGTCAGAGCATTGGCTCGAGTAATTTTTAGAGCTACAATTAGTTAATTGATGGATTAATCTGCGACTGTTTAGAATTGATTAATCATTTAGAGTTGTTTAAGTACAAAATTCAAATATGCTCTTGTTTAAACTTTTAAATTGAGAAAAGTTGATGTTTTTCCTTTTCTTAACACTATACTACATTGAAAATTTTTATGTTTTGGCCTGTTGTTCAGACAAATTATGATTTCCTGACATCACCGTGGATTGTAGGAATTTATGATGGCCATTATAAGTGTTTTTCACATCAAAGGATGCCTACACTAACCAATAAAGGAAATAATTCGTAGTTACAGCCCTTGCTATTTTCTTCAGCTTTACTCCAAAATGGTCTGTTCCACAACTGATTGCATGTAGTATTAAGTTAGAGTCCTCTAAAACAGGTTAATTAAGAAAGTGTTCTTTTGACTGAAGGTTGAAGTAGTTTTAGCTTTAAAATAAATTTGCTTATGTGCATGCAATGAAATGCATGCAGATAACCTGTAATGTAAACCATTTTATCCAGCATTTAAAAGATAGTGGGCCCTATATTACACCCAGCTCAAAGTGGCGCACAGTGCAGCACCACTGTCATTGCTAGTTTCAGACCAGCACTGTTGTCAATTTTTTTACAGGCAGTGCAGACCTGTGAGGAGCAAATATACCTGCCTATGCCTATCTGTGTGCCCATGGGTTTTGAAATAAAGTGTGGTCAGGGATATTGTTGGTGTATTGCTGTTTTGAGGCAGCAGAAAGCGATTGCCCCATTGACACTGAAAGTTAGGCCCTGTTTATACAACAACGATTTCAACTGAAAACGGTGAACTTTAGTTGCATTTTGGCCGATCGTTTACACGACAGCAGTGTTTTGGGTGCCTGAAAACGCAACATTTTGAAAACGGTTTCCAGAGTGCAACTTTTTGGAAATGGCAGCGTCTCCGTTGTCATGTAAACTTGCAATATGCAGTTCCTCTGAAAACGGTGACTTTTCACACATGTGTATTATGGTTCCAGTCACTAGGCATGCTGACCTTCACAACAACAATGCCAAGCTCTTTTTGTGCTGCTCACCCTGTTGATTTGAAGTGAAGTGTAGATCTGTTACTGTAGCAGCTCCACCTCATCGTCCATCCAGACAAAGTTATTTGTGCATGCTTTCACCATTGTGTCTTTTTTGTTTGGGTTTGTAATCACTGCGGTGTAGAGGAAGGCGCTTCAGCGCAGGCGCATGGCTTCATGCCGTGGTGTTGCTTTGCAAATTTACACTGCCACCCATTGGCCTGGTGTGCATACTACAGCGTTTCCAGTAGATTTTGCGGCTCCGTGTGAACAGGGATCGTTTCAATAACGTCGTCATATAAACGCAAAGGACAGACTTTTCCCTTTTTAGAGAAACCATTGTCGTCTAAACAGGGCCTCAATGGCACAGCATTTTTCCTGCTATTCATAGGGTGCATAATGCAGATAGTGAGATGCGCCTATATAGACAGGTTCGCAAGGTGCCTACACTCTGCTTGTTACACACTTGCATGGGCTTTGCGTAGGTGAAATAATACATCATTAATGAGGAATGTGAACATAGCAGAGATAACAGCAGAGCTTCTGTTCATCTCCACATTAAGAGTGATGCTCTGTGCATTTTCCTACGTGGAGCAGCTTAACTTTATTGATTATTTGAGAAGCTAAAAATTTAGTTAAGCTTCCTCTGTCATGTTTATTACTGCAATTTTTAGTTTTACTGCTTAAATGTCCCATGCTTTTTGCTGCAATGACATCAATGCTCCTCCTACTGCATTACTCTCAGCAGAGATGCTTCTCCAATTTGCCGAATGTGTCATGTAAATAGCAGTGTGCCAGCTGCAGGGGCACCGGTCTTTTAAAGAGAATGGATGATGACAGTCTAATTGGTTGAATTTATGTTATACCCAATACCCACATATGATTAATTAAGGGACTAAATACAACCCCCTTTTCCCTTGCACCCACTTTTCACGCAGACTATGCACTGTCTGAATAGCAAAAGTGAAGGTGGACATGGCCAAAATGCACCTGTGCCATGCACTTCAGACCAGATGCTATAGAGTGTTTGAATAGGGCCCCTAAAGTTGCTGTATACTGCTACCATAAACAATTCATGAGGCAGGATCTCAGGAAAAAAAGGTGGAAAAAAAACATTTTGTTGTAGAATACAGGGTGATATTCTAATTGTGTAGACTCTGGAGAACAGAGTTTATTTAGATGAGTGGTAATTGGAATTTGGCCTCTTCCCTCTCCTTCTCAGGCAAAGATGCCTTTTGATGCTAACAAGCTGTACTGCAGTGAAATCCTGGCTATCTTGCTACAAAACAATGACAGTAAGTGCGTCTCACTAAATGGTGCATGGCTTTCAAATGATGTCTGTTTATCTTCCACTTTTCTGTCACCTCTCAGCTTTCTAAAACAGAGAGAAAATGCACTGTCCCTTTTTCCCCTTTTCCTCTATATTTTTTCTTTATTTCTTCATTTCATCTGTTCTGGTAATTTCATCCCACTCCTTGCTTTGGCTTTGCATCCTTTTCTCTTTTACTACCCATCTTATTCTTATTCTCTTTCAGCCTCTCCTCTTTCCGTTTTTCCCTTCTCTCTTTCCTTTTTGTGTCCTTTCGATCTTTCTCTTTCTATTATCACTCCTAGCAATGTCTCTCATTTACATTGCCCTTTCATTCATTTCCTTTGTCCTTTCCTCCCTCATTTCTTTTCTTGTTGTCCTTTGGTTCTGTCATTTTCTTCCATCACTCTTTGATTTCCTGTTACCTTTGATGTTTCCATTCCTCTTTCTCCCACACCTTTTTTCAGTCTCCCTGTCTGGCTTCTTTTCTTCCTCTCTCCTTGTTTATTTGCCTTCTTCTCCATCCTTTCCCTCCCTCACTAAAACCTTGTAAAGCTTCAGATAGCCACAGGACTATCAGGTCCTTGGATAGGTTCTCATTAATGGTACAAGCCATATTGATATTCAGTGGGAGTCGTGTCTCATTTTACACTCCTTCTCCTCGCCTTCACTAGTGCTGCCTTTAGTAATCCTCTCCCTGCTGCTCTTTCTAATACAAAATCAAACTTAACAAAAATGTTATTTTTCATAAAGGAAACGTGCTCCAATGAATAATGTTGACAGTACCTTGAAGTAACAATAAGAAAAAACACATGACTACAAAGAAAATTACATTTAGGAAAAAACCTTGATGTGCTACTTTGAATGTAATTAGCACTTCCTGCTGTCAAATTTTAAAACCTCACTCTGACTTTATACATGTGTAAATACTAGCTGCTGTGAATGAGAAGAGCATCTCATCTCCGCTAATTAATTATCTCTGTAGCTTCACTGTATTTTTCAAATCAAATTCTGCTGTTAATGACGAGCACTTCTCTGCACAGAGTAGGGTTGGGCGATGTCCACAGTGAAACATCTCAGTGGATGATGACACCGTTGCTTTGATGCTAAACCCGACCTGATCGCAAACTGAGAACTTTTTAATGCATTACAGTCGCACAGTTGTCAGGACTGATGTCAAGGACTTAACACCACAGTGCTCTCCAAGATATGTGTGGGTGTATGAGAGACAGACAGAGACAGTGGAAGAGAAGGTGTAAGGTGGACTATTGCATTCAGTGTTTCTGTTGGCCTATAACTTAATCAGAACGTTGCCTTGTCACTTTTTGACCCGCCTGCCAGAACCTGTGATATTTAGATAACTTTACCAAGTGAATTTGAAAAAAACAACAACAACAACAACAACAAAAAACCCAACAACAAAAACAAAAAACAGAAGTCCACCCAGCAAATATTGATCAGTGACAGCAGTAAATTGTAATGATCGCAGCAACAAAGTTGGTTACTATAAAGGGAATTACTTTGATTCTTGTAGATGAATCAGAATTGTTACTTCTTAAAGGGATAGTGCACCCAAAAATGAAAATTCAGCCATTATCTACTCACCCATATGCCGATGGAGGCCCTGGTGAAGTTTTAGAGTCCTCACATCCCTTGCGGACATCGGCGGGGGGAGCGGCCAGCACACCTAATGGCATACGGCGCCCCAGGCTAACGTCCAAGAACACAAAATTGAATCCACAAAGTACCTCCATACTGCTCATCTGTAGTGATCCAAGTGTGCTGCAGCCCCGACATAAAAAGTTGTTTCAAAAAACGTCATATGAACTCTGTTTTTAGCCTCACTGTAGCCTGTAGCTCTGACTGCTTCTCTGTGCTCCGCGCTCACATGTGCGTGCTCAGGGTGATCGGTGATCTCTGAACAGCAGCAGTCTCGTCAGTACTGATGTCCAGATTATCAAGTGCAGGCATCGCCAATTTCCAGTCTGAGCAGCAAAGACTTTCCTCATCTGTTGGCATTGCTTTGCATTTGAAACAACTACACCACCAGGTTTCCAGTGCTCGACTCCAGTATTCTGCGGCTGGCTGAGGGTTAGGCTCATGAGCTGCGGCGGCTGCTTCGTCCAGTAGTCTGAGTTCCGTCCATATACTCAGGCTCAAACAAATACGGCTCCACAAAGAAATGCTGTTCCTCCTCAACTTCAGAGTCTTCAGACATGTTGGGCTGTCCTTTGCTAAAAGACCGTAGTGCAAATTATCTTTTAGCTACTGTGGTCACTGCTGTCTCCCCGTGCGGTGCACGTGTCACGTGATGTAAACAAGGGTGAGCAAAGCTCATGCTTTTGCTGGTCTCGCGCAGGCGCGCACACGTGAGCGCGGAGCACAGAGAAGCAGTCAGAGCTACAGGCTACAGTGAGGCTAAAAACAGAGTTCATTTTTTTTTTGGGTTGTTTTTCGAAACAACTCTTTATGTCAGGGCTGCAGCACACTTGGATCACTATGGATGAGCAGTATGGAGATACTTTGTGGATTCAATTTTGTGTTCTTGAACGTTAGTCTAGGGTGCCGTATGCCATTAGGTGTGCTGGCCGCTCCCCCCGCCGATCTCCGCAAGGGATGTGAGGAGTCTAAAACTTCACCAGGGCCTCCATCTGCGTATGGGTGAGTAGATAATGGCTGAATTTTCATTTTAAGGTGCACTATCCCTTTAAGATGGCTTGAGTGGTATCTTTTTTTCCATACCCTCGTGAAATCTCAGTGGGGTATAAGTTATTTGGTATTAGTGTGCAGTGGTATCCCTCCCCATTTCCACATGACACCTGGCATGTTCTCTAAATATCACATTTTTGGAAAAATGAAAAAGTTATTTCAGAGAGATCCTGACAGAAGGGTCTAAAATGTGTGTTTGACGGATATATCTAGGATGTCAGACTCACTCAGCAGCAACAACAGGTTAAAAAGACAGATAGTTTGAAGCTAAAGCCGAACTATAGGCTACAGATCACAGTGTAAAACCACCCCATCACTGCTGATCGACACAGAAGACAATGAATATAAGTGGAAACGATGCCAATATTGAACCAGCTGTGTGGCATCGCAGTGTGTGCAGATTAAGGTATCTGGCTACCCCCATGCTGCCGCCAGCACTTGAACCTCTGATGCCAGACATGCACGGAGCTCTGGGAGAAGCCAAACAATGTTCATCTGCACACACTGTGATGACACACAGCTGGTTGGATATCTGCAAAGTTTCCCTGCTTCCCTTAACTGGTTCTTGTACAGCAGGGTAGGTCTTTTTGCAGTGTTGTAATCATTAAAAAGCAGTTGCTTCATGTGTATATATTCAGTAGGCTATACCTTGAGTAGCTAGCTAGCAAACCCTACACTTTTCAGGGTTTGATTTTGGTTCTGGAACAGGGAAGAAATGTATATCTCCTTCCAACCTCTCCAGGTAGCGAGTATCATTAATACATGTGCCCCAGGCTTAATGTTTAGCTCGAAATCAACAAAACTAGCCTGAAGGAAATCTGAAATGGTTGCATGAGAGACAGTGGAGCACAGCTGTGTTGTTTTCGGACCCTGGTCTGAGCTGGCCCCAATGCTACGCTATGATTGGTCAGTCTGCATCTGGGAACAGGACTTAGCAAAGGGTCAGTTGCCTGGTTAAAACATTGAAATGCACACGTCATTCAAACTAGACAGAAACAAAATAAAACTCACCAAAACAGTTTATTAAGTCTTGTTAGTCAACTGCTTAGTCAGTTGACTGTTCCAACAATCTCCAACTCTGGTTTGAACAAAATAAATTCTTAATTCACTGAGTTAGACATGAAAATATGCCATTTTTCCCCACGGCCTGTCTCTCTCTGCTGTTGCTGGCCAGCTCTTAACAGTCCTGTGACATTGTTCCTACCACCACCAGCTGCCTGTTCCACCGGTAGAGACCAAAGACTGACCTCTGGTGGTGTGTGATGTGCATCACATACAATAAGTTTGATGGAAAGAGGAGTGTCTGTATTTTTAACGGCATTGAAAATCATACCATCAGGATCTTTCAGTACCCTGGTGTACCATATTACTGCCTAAGCCTATTTTGAAGCACCAGTGACTGCCATCAGGGCCACCACAATCTGATGACTGACAGCTGTCAGCCTTAGATGATGGCATCTGCCCAACGCTAGCCCATAGAAAGTAAAAGCACAAAATATTGTCACTAGACATGGGCGTATGGTCTGCCACTTGCTGATGTCAATGTAAAGGATTCCTGGGTGTTGACAGCCTTAAATTTAAGACATGTGGCCCTCACTGCCATTCAGGGCCACAAATTGTGTGTTTTATAAAACATTTTACTACTTAGGCCTAGGTGGAATAACCTGTGTGGATGTATATTTTTCAGTGCCCTCATTTTCCCTCATTTTCTCTCCCTGGAGGTCCTTGTAGCCAATGTGTCACTGTTTATGCTCACTGTATGCCTTTGTAGCGCTTCAGTCATTCCCTCCCTTTCTTTGTCCTTTTCTCTTTTGCTTTCCTTCATCTGTCCACTTAAACCTTTTTTTCTGTCCTCCCTTCCGCTACTTAAATGTCTGTTTTTTGCTACCATCTCAATTTAATCTCCCTGTTGTCTTGTTACTCCATTTTTATCTCTTCTTCTTCCTCCTACTGCATTTCTTCTTTTTTTCCACAGATACAAGAGAACTACTGGGAGAGATGGATGGCATTGATGTGTTACTGCAGCAACTATCTGTAAGATTTTGCTTTACTCTCTATTTTTAGTTTGCTTTACCACTACCCTTCTTATTATCCATCATTCATTGCAGCCTCGCAAGAGTAAATCTCAGTCAATTCTCAAACATGAGAGTCTCCTGAGCCAAGATTTAACATCAGCAGTGTACTGTATGGTGGTGCTCTAACCTGTGGGTGCACATCACTTCCAGTATAACCCTAAGCAAATGTTTTACTTTATTTCCAGCCTTACAAATCACCCCACCTATACATACTGTGAGCGGACAATAGTTACCCATCAAATAGAGATGCAAAGTCCCTCCCCTTCTGGTGGGCCATCATGGGACCTGAAAAATGATCTATTAAACTGGTAAACATGAGTGTAATTCATGGCACAATTCAAATGGAGTCAAAAACTTTGTCTTGCCATTGACTTTTGTGCATGTTTTTTCCGACATAAGGTTCCATGGGGGACAACGGAAGGGGAGGGACTTCTTCTCTCTATTAGCTATTGACCAGCAATTTTTTAGTGGCTATTGGCCTTTTCCCTTTCCTTTCTTTTCTCTCAATTATAATATTAACCTGGCTAACATTTCTGTTATGTCAGGCCTATTCCTTCTCATATCACCCACATTCCCAAACTACCCTAATAAACTACTCCACAAGCTGTTGCTGTGGTTTAAAGAATTTCCTTCTCAAACACGCCTGCCTGGGATTTCTCTCTAAATGCCCACTTCACTCTCAGGTGTTCAAACGCCACAACCCGTCCACAGCCGAGGAGCAGGAGATGATGGAGAACCTCTTTGATGCTTTGTGTTCTTGCCTAATGCTGCCGGCCAATCGGGACCGCTTCCTCAGAGGGGAGGGGCTTCAGCTAATGAATCTCATGCTCAGGTGAGGCTGCAGTACAGTCTAAGAAATGCCAGCACTGGGACTCACTCCTAGGCTACTTATGGAAGTGTTGGGTGCATTTCCTTCCTCATAAAACATTTGCAAATCTGATTGTGGATGCTGACAGTCCTGTACTACTTTTTTCCCTCATTTTCTTTAACCAGTGTAGCATGATAGCATAGAGAAATTAGCAAGCTAGCTAACTAGCTTGCTGCTTTGTGAGTAAATTTTACCAACCTAATGCATCATCGTTACACAGCGTAGGAAAGCACATTGCTATCACCAGATAAGTGACAACTTTGCTCAGGTCATTTCCAGTAAACACTGTGAGATTGGCATTAAAGCATGATGGACTTAGCAAGCTGAAGAAATGGTTAGCGGACAAAAACATTAACGTTTTGCAGTGGCTCAGCCAGAGTCCTGACTTGAATCTAATTGAGAATCTGTGGAGGGAGCTAAAGATCAGGGTGATGGCAAGGAGACCCTCCAACCTGAAAGAGTTGGAGCTCATCGCTAAAGATGAATGGGCAAAAATACCATTGGATACATGCAAAAAGTTGGTCAGCAATTATAGGAAGCTTTTGATTGCTGTAATAGCCAATAAAGGCTTTTCTATTGATTATTGAGAAGGGTATGAATAATTTTGGACATGCCACTTTTTGTTCAAATGTAAATAAGAGCTGAGAAATATTTTTTTTCCACAATGATGCCTCTTGTACATCGTCTTATTATGTTCTGGGAGACGCCTGTGTCATTTCCAATCAAGAAAAAACTTGCTGGTTGAATAAAAGTAACTTTAAGTCAAAATTTGCCAGGGGTATGAATAATTTCGGGCCTGACTGTATATATATATATTATGTATGTATATTATATATATATATATATATATATATGTAACATGACAGTCAGTCATTGTATCTGATTCTTTGTTCATACCCCTACACAGTTTTTGCTTCACCACTATTCTTGGTTGAGAAATAATTTCAGGCTATTGTTACAGGTAATTAATTACTGTTCAGCAAGTATTGATGCTACAATGGGTTTCTTTGTAAACAATAATAACAATGCTTGTTAGACAAGAAAAACAGACATGTAGAGACATTGCAGACCGTTAATATTAAAAAAAAAAAAACGCCATTTCATCAAGTCAGAGCTACAAAAAGATATTTATTGCAGTACTGCAGTTAATAACTAGGTATAATAATCAGTGTCAGTTAGGTTAGTTTTTACAAATTCTTCATAAGATTTCCAGAAACATCAATCAATCAATTCATTTAATTTTATTTATAAAGCCCAATGTCACAAATCACAATTTGCCTCACAGGGCTTTACAGCATGCGACATCCCTCTGTCCTTAGGACCCTCGCAACATAAATGCATTAAATATGAAGTATGTTCCCAGTGTAACATTAACCTCCTACACACATTAAAGAGGTACATTAATGTAGAATTTACAACACTAAGTGCTTCAGTGCTATAAAAAGCTTATTTAAAGAGAAAATATGCAGTGTTGATCTCAGTACAGAACATCTGTCTATATACCATCTCACTTCAGAGCCTTTCCCCCCAGTGATCTCTGTACTGTGAAAATTTAAACACTCATAGCATAACAGTTTGTAGCGCTGCACAGAACAGCACGTCTGTCTACTCTATTGCCTGGCGAGTCTGCCAGTCCAATCAATCAACAGTTGGTGGAGCGCAGCAAGGCAGAGATGTGACCTTAAAGAGTCATAAAGACACATTACACGCATTTATGAAACCTTCACAGCCTCTGCACCCGTGCGTTGATAATCACATCATTGGACACATAGATTTAAGGCTCGGATCAATATCTCATTATTGGATGCAAAAACCCTTTTCTGCAAAATCATCCACCAGGGAAACAGAGGAAGAAAAAGACAGAAATGGAGGAGGATGAGGAAGAGCAAACCAAGATATGACTTTGAGAAACTAATAGTGAATTTGTAAGAATGGAAGAGAATTTCATTTCTTATCCTTTTCACTCTGCATAATACTTAACAGTGCAGGGAGTACAGAACATGAGCTTTGTCTGAAACAAGATGAACATTGGTAAGGGCAGGTGGATTTATACTTGTGTGGTAAACAGCGATCCTATTGCACATCGCTCAGATGTGGAAATTGGGCTTTCTAAAGTCTGAGATAATAAGTTTGTCTATCTCAAACTGGGCTTTAGGCTTCAAATTTTTAACAGAAAGCTTGCATTACAAACTGGAGGTGTGGGGTTTTAAAGATGTATACGTCTACCAGTCAGAGAAAGATGTTTTAAATAAAGATAGTAGGCTTTAGAGTTATTAGGATCCAGATTTGTAGAGCTTGACCCATGAGCCTCTCAACTTTGTGGAAGTTACTAAATCGCCAGAGGACCCCTTTAAATCAGCATTTATTTTTTTTTTTTTTACCGTATCCTGCATTATCAGTTTAATTATAGTTTTCAAAAGATCAGCTCTTGCTTTCTCGCCAACACAATGCAAGTGCGAAAACAAGACAGAGCATAGGATGCAAAAAAAAAAAAAAAAATCCTCTCCTCTCACTGAGACACGTTTATTGGTTTTCCATCAAAAACTCAATTTCAATTCCTACCAGGCCTTTTTAGTCTTGTGCTACATACAGATTTCACACCTGGTGTCTTAATGAATTCCTGGCACAGCTAAATGTTTGTCAGACCAGACACCTTCTCCCTAAAACTGTGATGTGCTGCTGCCATTTTTACATACACGTCTAAGAACCTGTTAGCAGTTTATGGTGAGTATAGCACCAGTAGTTGTACAAAAGTATTGAATAATTTAATATTTCCTTCCTGGCATACATTAAAGCCCTAAAATTTAATCTTTTTTCAGAAAAGGTTACATATTAAGAAGGTTTTTCCATTTAAAAAAAGCCCATCATGCCTTAAAATGTCTTTGATGTACCTCTACACCTTTGCCTCATTTATTATGTGCAAACTAGTCCCGCCTCTCAGCTGCTCGCCTGCACCTTGAGTGTACCTGCTCACCTTTGAATCTGCTCATCGTTCTCGACAACATTAGAAAAATAACAGTAATAGATGACATGAGCCTTCGACTTGAGTACAATATCAAGCAGCTAATAAGGTGTTACCAATGTTAGATAAAACTCGTCCCTGACTGCCAACTCTGACAAGTTGAAAGCGAAAATTAAATTTAGCTTGCAAAATACCAGTACCTAGCTACACCTAGCTTCTCCTCGCAATTTGATGGGATTGGTTCCTCAGACGTGTGACCAATAAAAAGCTGGCTGTCTAAATCCATGTTTTTGAGCGTGTCATGGGGGCTGGGGTGGAGGCTCAGCCATGGCAATGACTGCTTATATTGCTCATGATTTGTCTGGTAGCATAGAAAAAAAACATTTGGACACGTTAACAAGGTTAAAAACTTGATTTTTATTTGATGGGGTATTTAACCTCCTCTACTCACACCACCCTGCTATAAACCCAATTTTGTCCCCAGGCAGGACTGGGCAGGGGAAGATTGCAGGTCAACACTACATGCCACATAGAAGTGGTAGGCATCATCTGAAAACTGGAGCCTGACGATTAATAAATGCAGCTCAGCACGTTGTGTTTTGGTTGGTGTCTATTTAAACTTAGAACATTATGATGTAAGCATTTGATGGTTATTCCGATGTTCAACAGTATCTTGTTAGAAGCAATTTTTTGAGTCGATATCAATGTTCAACATATTTGATGCTAAATTTAAGCATTTTTACCACTCAAAAATTGATGAAAATGGTCAAAAATCCTTCTAAAATACCACATTAAGACACCAAGATCTTGAGGAACACCATATAAAAAGCCATGCTGTGATTTGGTATCAAAAACCTTTGACATTTTGAGATTTCTGTAAGAATTGCATTTCTCAGTGATTGGATGGCGAGTGCTTTTGTTCTGGGAACTGCTGAGAAACTCCCATATTTTCAGTATATCGATGAAAGCCATATACCCTCTGAATGCCCTCAGTCTCTAGTTTGTGGATGTAAAGTTTGACGAGGCTGTGATTATCCTAGAGGTCACAATAGGTCATTTTATGCAGTGAAGGTCTGTTGGACAGGTCTGTTTAAAAATGGTCTCACTTCAGTATAATGGCTACATTGGGGACTAACATCATCCCACATGAATAAGGTTTTCCAGTCATATCAAATTTATGCAATTTCAAGACTGTTCAGGGACCCCAGTATGCAGAAATATTCAAATACATTTGGCAAAAATAACACATTTGTACTGCATGAGAAAAACAACATGGTTTTTGCACCACACTTCATTGGACTAACACATAGTGGACATGTCTGTCAATGTATCATTCAGATATGTTGAGGTGAGAGATCAAATGACAAATATTGGCCTAAATTTGGAGTGTTATTTAACCCTTTGCCTGACAAGTTAGCATTACATGTTAGCCAAGGACGCCAGTGTCCAAATGGAGTGAAAAAGGTTAAAGTGCCTTTGAGATTTTTGAATGTACAGTTCCCCTATTTTTTGTGGGAATTTGGCCATTTTCTGATTACACTACGAGAATATTTTGGTCTGACTTTGGGGTGTATAGGCTGATCATGTCCATCAGCACAGGTAAGAAAACTTCTCAGCAAGGGCATATCTTTGAGTGATTAAGTGTCATTTACAATTTCATTTGAATATAAAACCTGCTGCTGCCATGCTAACACCCACTAGACATCAAAACTAGTAGAGTTCACGACACCAGGATGTTGAGTTAAGTCACCAACTGAATTGCCTAGTTTCCCTTCAGAAAGTACACTGTGTATCGCTCCCCCCTGGCCTCTCCAGCCGTCCATCATATATAATGTGTCTGTCTGGAGAACCAGACTCAACTGCCTGAAATATGTGTCCCTCCTCTGAGATAAACACTGTCATCTGTCATTGGTGGGAATGGAGGAAATGACAGTGTGACAGACAGCTACATTTCCCGAGAGGAGGCGTGGGGTGGGGGTTGGGGGGGTTTAGACGGAGCAGGAAACAGTTGGTCCCCTTATCGTGCCAATGCTTTAATGATGGAATACAGATGAATATCTGCATTACAATTTATTTGTTTGACAGAACACACATTTTCTTTTATTGTGGTCGTTTATTGTTTGACTAATTTGTTTGACATTGTGAAACAGCTTTTCAGAATTAACAGCAAAACAATTGCTTGTTTTATCTTATTTAGAATGTATTTTTTTTAACTTTCTATTACTTTGTTAAATATATTGTGCAGCTCACAATGACAATAATCAGTAATTTAGTTAAAGGCAGACTCTGATTTTGTTATAACTCACCTGTGAGTTGGGGTAAGAAAACATTTGCGAACATTTTCTTTGCTTTTGGGCGTTTCTCATTAGTTCTTGTGCAGACTAATGGACTCTGATGAGCTGACAGTAACAAGTAAAAATAATATCAAATATATTCAGTGAGCAGAGATATGTGGAGTCAAATCTCAGTGGGCCTCATGCAAGAACATTTTCACATCATTATCCTGAACTTTTTGCTGGTACCATGTTACCAGAGACTTAAAAGAAGTATTTCCCCCCTGCTAAGCTGCTGTAAGAAATCACCAGACGGAAATATAACTAATGTAGAAGTGTCAGTAATATTCGGAAACCTGAAAGAACTATTAAGTATTAATAGAATAGTGTCATCAGATCCGTACCGCACTGTGACATAAATAAAGATTAAATGGTTTGACTTTGAGCTTGATGCTAAAAAACATCTTGCTCAAACAAAATGGAACAAGGGTAAAAGATTAAGCCATGTAATAAGGATGGGGTGAACATAGTGGGAAGAATATTTAAAAAAAAAAAAAAAAAAAAAATCTTGTAATATATTTAAAGTCAAAGTGTGAATTGTGAGTGTGAACCGAAAGCAGCCTCACCAAATGTCTTCTGGGAGTCTTTAGGAACTTCTAAAAGAACGGCAGTGGAAGATCTGAGGGTCCTTGTTGGGACATAAAATGAAAGGTGGCCACTGATATATGAAGGTGCTTGACTATGCAAGGCTCTGCAGGCAAGTAAAAGGACTTTAAAATGATTTCTAAAAGATATAGGACAGGTAGCCAGTGAAGTGCATGCAAGCAGAGGGCTTATGTGGTCCAAACTATACTGGTTATTTGGTTATTAATTCTGGCTGCAGTGTTCTGCATTGACTGTAATTTTCTCAAAGACTTATTAAGGAAAAAGAGAGCTGCAATAATCTAAACGACTTGTGATAAAAGCATGTATCAGTGCTTCAGCATCATTCTAAGTTAGAAGTGGTTGAATTTGAAAAAACAAACAAAACACTTCATTGCCAATGTGCATGCTCTGTATATTTATTGAAACAATGAATAACTGTCAGTAACTCAGCATCGTTTCCCCTCTGTGCTGCAGAGAAAAGAAAATGTCTCGAACCAGTGCTCTGAAGGTCCTGGACCACGGGATGATTGGACCAGAGGGAGCAGATAACTGCCATAAGTTTGTGGACATCCTGGGATTGCGAACCATCTTTCCACTTTTCATGAAAACCCCCAAGAAGATGAAAAAAACTGGTACTTCAGAGAAGGAGCATGAAGGTCAGTCACTAATTACAACGAGGCAACAGCAGACATGATTTCTTCATGAAGGCTGGAATGAGCTGTTTTGACCTGTTCTAGTAGTTTGATCTGTTGAGCAAGCAGTGAAAGCACTTGTGTGTGTGTGTGTGTGTGTGTGTGAACACTTAATCAGAACAAATTTTTTTGGACTTGTGCCAAGTGGTTTTACCCACTGAGGCATCTAATCTGCTGGAAATATAACTCAAGAAGTTTTTTTCCAACTTTATTGAAAAAAATTCAATTCATTCAAAAATATACAGAAGGAGTAGAGGTGGTGCTGCCTGTTAATACAATTTAGAACTAAGTAACCTTAGTTGAACCCAGGTTTATGTCTGGAGGTACAAATTACAGATGTCCGTAGATGTCTCATCTGCAGGCTACTGCAACTCCACATTGCAGCCTGTAACAACAATGTTACATAAGACATGTATGTAAACTGTAACTGCAACTTGATTGTTAGTGGAGGCATACATCACAAGGCGGTGATTTTAGTTTGGCATTTAAATAAAGTTTTTTTCTCCCTGTTGGCCTGGCGGCTCGCCATGCCTGTGCAATTATAGGGGAAACATTGGAAATCAAACCACTGGGACAAAAGCACATAAGTCGCCTCTCTGATAATGACACAGTTCAGATCAATGGCTTCTGCACACACAGTGAAAAAATGTTTGGGAAATTATTTCTAGCGTTTCCACATGCCTGGGAGAATCGCTGTTGCGGACTAGGTTGTGGTAACATGTTAGTTTAGATGATGACTGACAGTACTGGGGATACTTTTTTAACGTCTGTCAAGTCTCATCATTTTTGTTATTTGTCAAGTAAAGAAATCTTTAGTTTGCTGACCGTACTAATTTAAGCGATTTTACTAATCACCACGGGTTAATTTCTTTCTTGTCCTGCGTCTAGTTTTCTGCAATGTGTAGTCGCACCCTTTTCCTGCAGACGCACTCAATCCTAATCTGCTCATGTATCACGCTTTGCTGCCTCTTCGGCCTGTCAGTTTACACTATCAATCCAATCTTGATTGATTTTCCTGCCTGCGCTCTCGAACCTCTCTTGTCTCTGAGTGAGAGATAGAGGAAGTACAAACAAGAGCCAGAGAGAGAAAAAGAGAGGATGTCCATGTGATACAGGGTGAGAGAATCAAATAGAGAAGAGAGTGAAAGAAAAAGGTAGAAGCCCTGTCCATCTCTCTGCTCTTTGTTTGATTACCTACGTCCAAAATGTGGAACCCTTCCTCTCTCTCTGTCTTTATTAATTGAGTTTGATTCATCCGGTGGGGCTTCCCAGCCCTGCAGAGGAGAACAAATTGTCTTCCATTGTGTCCCGTCTCACCCAGGGACTGGATGAATTAACCTTTGACCTCCTCGAGCAGCAGGAGGAAGAGTGGGAAGATAACCCGTCCTAACGGTTAAACCTTCTCCTCCCTGTGTGTTGAAGCCGCCGGCAAAGCGGACACACGCTTAGAAGACAGGCTTTAAAAAGAGATGTGGAAATCCACCCTGGAGGCTCTTTCTCCCTGTGAGGCTTAGCACGTGTGGTCGAGATTTATGTGTATCTCTCAACCGAAACTGCATCTTGAGAGCCACAGTATGATAATGTATTTTTGGGAGGGTAAAAATCAGTATGATGTTGGCCTTTTAACTCAGCTGCTCTGTTTGTTGAAACCTCCTGCTTTGAAGTTAAATGGTAAAAGCAGTTTAGGATACTTCACAGCCAACTTGGCCGTAACTTCCACATGCTTCGTAATGTCATATTGTTTAAATAAGCATAAATAGAGAAACATTACTTGCTTGCATCTTCAAGATATCCTGTGGAACCTACTGTACTACAAGTTAAAATATCGTAACCAAATACTTTTGGTCATATGGGATTTAGACATCTAAAAAATAACAAGACAATAATCAAATCTAGTTAATGGTTTAGCATCTTGTTACCTGTAAATCACAAAACTAGGCTTACTCATGAGCTGCTCCAACAATAAATTCTGTGTCTGTCCAGAAGTTCATGTTCATTTTAATACATCTTCATGAAATCCACTCTCTCTGCATAAGGTCTCCAAGCCAAGAGGAGAATTACACTTGTGCATATTCATAAGTTTCAGACTTTTATGAAATGCTGTATTTCATCTGATAACAGTGCAAGAAATCATGAATTGCAAGTTTTATGATTTACAGTATATTCATAAGCTAGAAAATTGTGAACTCCAGTTGGGGCTTAATACTACACAACTTTCACATAGCCACATAGAATGATATGTTAATGTTATATTTTACCCCAAAGCCACAAACATCAAACCATTTTAAAACTAGTATACCCTAATAATTAGAGATGCACCAATCCGATATCTGGATGGAATATCGGCCCCGATATCATCAAAATAGATGGATCGGGTATCGGAAAATGCAACCTATACCTGAGGCGATCCTTTCCCTTTAAATCTATTGTGATTTCTTAGGAAAGAACTGTGTAGTCATCAATGCCTGATGCCTAGTCTTTTCTGTTCTACATGTAAAGGTATATAGCTTTTTAGGTCAACCATGGTATTGGATCGGGTATCGGCTGATACTCAAAGCCACAGCATCAGGATCGGTATCAAAACTGAAAAAGCTGGATCGGTGCATCTCTACTAAGAATAATGGCAGATTGCAATTAAAACCATTACTGAAATACCGTGACATAAATTCTAAACTCAATGTTCAGTATGTGTTCCCAAGGTTAAGAATAAACTTTCACAATTAAGTTATTGAAATAGTTCATAAGCATTGGAACCATTGGTTAATTAATTGATCAGAAAATCAGTCCCAAACTATTTAAACAATCAATTGATTCTTTCATTTTTTCCTAGGCAACAATGTCAAACATTTGGTGGTTTCAGCTTTTCAAATGTGAGGATCTAATGCCTTTATCACATCATATTGCAGTTTTAGGGTTTAGGACTGTTGCTCACACGAAACAAGATGACATCACTGAAAGTGTATCACTGCTGCACTGTCAGCTACTACAGTCATTCAAACATGTAGCACAGCAGCACTCAATACACATCATGCAAAGCAAAAAGAATGGACTAAGTTCAAAAGTAAGAGAGCGTTATTACATACAAACACATAAAGCACCCATACACACATGAATAGCCAATATGATGGGAAAAATTTAAAATAAGAGTGGTTTCTAACTGTGTTCAATTCAGCCATTTGTTTCATGGTAAGATGGCGATGCTTTAGTTGGACTTTGCCACCACAGTGATGACATTGTTGTTAGAAAACACAACTATGTTGAGCCTTCTTAACATTTAATTGCCAGACTGAATATATATTGCAGATATCGGTAATTCAGTTCTAATCCTCCTAGTCAAAAATAATCCATAACATCATACTTCCTTGGACAAATGACATCATTTTTGCCATTCGTGTATAATTGGCTTTTAATGTCTGATATCCACAACGTCATTTTTGATATCCAGAATAAACATGCAATTCAGCCATTTGTGCTTTCATGGTATGAGCATTCTGGATACCTGCAGTAGAATTATGTTCATAAAAACTTTCATTTTAGATATCTTCAGTTTTTACTAGTCATAATTTTAATTTCTGATTTTCAATCTGAAAAATCCACAATACATTTTTGGATATCTGCAATTGCATTGTTAATAATAATTCTACTCAGAGGTATCTGAAATTGCATTTTTACTAGTCATAATGCCAATTGTGGATATCTGTACTGAAATATTTCCAGTCAAAATGTATTTTTGGATGTTCAAATTAACATTATGGATATGTAGAATTCTTTCCCCAATTTGGATATCTGAAATTAGAATAATGACAACTAACAATTGAATTGTAGATATCTGAAATAGGAGTGTTTCGTAGAAAGAATCCTACTGGAAAAAAATGACCTTTCCGTGGATATTTGAAATTGAAAATCTGTTACACATGAATGGCAACAGTGAAGTCATTTGTTTTAGGAAGAATGTCATTGTGGATATCTGAATTATTATTTTTTTGAGTAGGAAAAATTGAATCACAGATATCCGCAATATATGTCCAGTCAAGTTTTTAAATGTTAGAATGGCCACTTATACTTCTTAAGGATTTAAAGATATCTTGAATTTAGTTTTGCCCATTACAGTACAAGCTGTATATCTTGAGATGAAATTTCTACTCTTGAGAATGTTATTGTGGATATCTTTAATTACCATTCTGATTGGTAAGAATATTATTTTAATCTTAGAGAAATGCAATTATGTATATCTAAGATGTAATTACAGATAGGAGTGTGGTTTTACTAAATGTTAAAACAGCTTGCCATAGCAAAACGTATCAACTATCGGTTTAGTCAGTTTTCAACCATACAAATGAACAGTTTTAACAATTAAATATGCTCATGCAAGTGTAGTTTTGGAATGAGTTTTCTATAATTAATCAATGTTTTTTTTTTTCTATAAGAGATGCAGCCTGTATAGGATTTCCCATCATGTCTCCATTGATTTCTCTACCATAGGCGTAATGAGATGCCTGTCATAATAAGGCCTATTGAGTGAACCCTCTTTCTCTGTAAGACCACTAATTGAAAATGCTGTGAATCAAGTGGTTCTCCAGAATAACACAATAACACTGTAGATTAATTAACTATCAGGCGCTTCAAACAAAAGTAATTAGGAGGTAGGGACCTCTCTGTCCTTCTATTCTTAGTGCGCTCTCTCTCACATTCTTTCCACTGCTCTCTCTATCATAAACCTCGGTGCATAGATTGATCCCCGTGAAATCCTTTCTGAAATTGACACAGTCCAAATGACCAGGGATTGCCAGGCCATTATTAGCACACAGAACGGCATAATTAATAGAGACATTGTAAGTGGAGAGGAAAAAAAAAAATCCAAACAGCAAATTACATCTCTCTGCTCATAAATATCCTTGTCACAACACTGCCATTCACCTTGCTTTTAGGGTCTCAGTTTATTGGTGTATGTACTCTGTCATTAC